ATTATAGAAGATATTATTTTTAAATATCATAGAAAATTATATTAGAAATATAGATAATAGCCAAAAAGATAATATATAAAAGAATGTTAATATTACCCTTTAATAAAATAGGCTTCTACTTATATTGTAAAGCCAAGAAGGATAAAAAAAAATAGATTCAGAAATCAAATAATATAGGCATATGTAGGAGGAAGTTAAAAGTAGATTTTAGCAAAATTTACCTCAAGAAGCTAAGAATTAATATCCACATAGGACCGGTTGTCAATCTGAATTAAAATCAGATCCCGAGGCACAAATCGTGCACCTAAGAAGATTGTTCCACTCTTGCCATCTAACACCAACCATGTGCTACTATTATATGTGCTACACACAATCTTAGATACAGACAATACTTTAAAATTTAGACACTCAATTGAAATGATGCCACTAAGGTATTAGCTTCATCATTAGTATCACCAAAATCACCACCTAGAGTTAGAGAAATTGACTTTATTTTTTCTTGCAAAAGAACTAAAAACATAGTATGTTTATAATCACCATGAATATCATTTGAGTTACTGCCAAAGCTTTGAATTCTTGCCAATCAACTTTATTATTTCTACTAAAAAAACTAAAATTGTAGTTTTTGGAATCATAACTATATTTTTTATTTTTTATTATAAAATTAGAAATGAATCATTTTGGTGACTCACAAGACCTTTTTCATTGTTGGTAAAACCTCCAACAATTAAAATTTTATAATGTATGCCTAAATTTTATTTAAATTAAAGTAGAAGTCATAGGATTTTGATATTTGTTTATTCTTAGGTAGCAATGATGATTTTAATTTTGACTTTGGAAATTTAAGTCCTTTCTACTCTTTTTTAAATATTTCTATATATGGCTCTATACATCTTCTTGTATAATTTGATTAATCCCTTGTTATGATTTTTGGCTCTTTAGATAATTCATAAGTATCTTTAATGTTTATAATTGTATCTTTAATAATCTCATTGAGATTTCAAAAATATAAAAAATATTTTGAAGTTGTTTTATTTTTTTACTAATGTAAAAAGAAGGTGGCTTATATATTTAGACTTAATTATAACTAATAATATTATAATATTATTTGATTTATCTTCTTTATTAGATAGCACTTCATAGGAGATGTAGTTTGAAAGATAAGATGAAGGTTGATCCTTTGTAGATTGTTGAATTCTCTTATCACTAGGCATTACTAAAAACCTTGTATCTTCTAAATCTTAGCCTTTATTTTGTTGATTATATAGATTTTGACCTTAGTTAAGAAGAATGTATAGTCTTTTGGTGTTAAGACCATCTATAGGATTTTGATTTTGACAATGATTGTTATAATTAAAAAAAAATTGGATGGTTTTAATATATCAATAGAGATTGGATTTCTTACCTCTCTCATGTTATCTCAAGCTTGTTGTTGATAATTTCTTTATTATTGTATAAAGTTCAAAGAAATTACTTTCTTATATTATCTTAAAATATATGTAGAATAATTACCTCAACAATTACTATAGACTCTTTGATTTTTCGTCCAACAATTGTCAAGTAGATGTCTCTTACTACAAAGGTGGTGTATCTCTTGCCTTGATTTTGATTGTTCTTTATAACCTTAATTAAAAAATTTATAGTCTTATTGTTAGAAGTTGAATCATGTATTATCTTTGTTTTTATGTGGTGCAATATAAGATTATTGTCTTTTAAGATTTTATTATTAGATCCACAACATTGTGCAAATTGATTAGATATATTAAATATATCATAGTCTCAAAGTATGTCTATTTAATTCTATATATAATGATATTTGGTTGAGTCTTTGGTTTTTTATCAATAAAGTCATTTTTTATTGGATCATCTTGATTTATTGCGTAAGTCAATCTTAGAATTCTTCTTAACTTTGGAAAATCTCATTCTTAATTTCTTCTTTCTATCTATTTCTTTTGTAAAAATAAATGATTTTTTAAAGAATAGATGGCATTCTTACTTCTAAAGATGAGCAGTAATATCCTACTAATTAGAAATGGTTTCTAGTAAAACCATGTAGTGGTTTTTAGGAATGTTTTATGTTTTGACCATGAATTGGTACAAAAGTAGAATTTCTATGATCTTCTTTCTTCTATATCCTTTCATGCTCCTTATCAATTTTCTCAATTATCTTAACTATTCATTTCATGGATTTTAGATTTATGCAATGTCTCTTGAATCCTAATAGAAGGTTTATAAGAACCAAATTTATGACTTCAATGGATTCATAAAAATCTATACAAAGTGATATAGTATCATTGAAGTATGAAGTATTGTTATTATAATAATGTAAGATTATTTTTTCACGAACCATTAAGAGTGTAGAGAGTTGATAAGCTACAATTTTATTTTTTATTTTTTTTAAATTATCATTTTATTAAAAAAATCTAATAATATTTCAATAAAAAAATAGCATCAAAGAGAGTGAACGAAAGTATATGATTAACTTGTCATTATGATCAATACATAATGATTTATTTTTAAATTTTTAAATTTTTAAAAGATTGTAACAACCATTCAATTTGAATTGACAAAAATGATCTATTGTACGACTTTGGTCAAAGAAAGTTGTTTGTATACTATCGTGTAATTCATTCAAATTACTTGTTGTATACTTGATTCTTCAAAAAAAAAAAAAAAAAAAAAAAAAAAACTTTAACTTTAACTTTAAACTTTTTTAAAAAAAAGAAACCAAAAAAACCAAAAAATTAAATGATTGCTTAACTTTAACAAAACATTGGCTACATGGATGAAAGGTCCTGAAATGCTTCCAAGAATCACAAGAAGACGATTCTCCAGTGAAGAAAATCCAAGCAAGCATTTCCGAAATTGCCGCTCACCCCGTCCATACATAGATGCAGCCTAAGTGGATATAACATCAGCAACGTCAGAAAGAACAAGAAATCCCATTGGGAGAAAATTGATTGTGGCCAGTTTTAAAAGACGCCACGAAAAGTACTAACTGCTGGCTCAGGGATACTACACTAACCAGACCTTGGTGCTATGGCATCGATGTCATTTGATACATAAACCTACAGATTCTACTTTGAACTTTTTACAGCATGGACAGTCACTACAGGAGTAGTGTTGTGGAGTCTAGCAAAAGGACATGTAACCACATTCATTGAACACGTGAGATTGTATTCATATGATGCACATTGGAACTTTTATGCATGGGGATGCTTCAAGGAGTCTTTTATAGAGACTGAGCTCATGCTGATGAGAGCATGCTGCTTTGCTGCCATCCAAAAACATGGGGAGAGTTATACTTGCATTAAATGTGAATGCCAAGGAACCTTCCAATCCACCGTCACTAAGTAACATTTTCATAATTCCTACGTAACAACTCAGCATCAGAAACATACCATGTGACAGTGAAGAGTAATGCAGTGGTGAGTCAGAAATTTGTGCAGAGAATGTTGTGTAGATAGCTTTATCAAGGTTACTGACAAAAGGTTCAATGAGTTAAGCAAGCTCACAACAGTGTTAGGTTTAGGATAACAACAATGAATTCATTTGCAGATAGAATATGACTGGAGTCAATGTGGCAATTGCCAAAACTGAGGATTGTTGCAACCCTGAAGCTTACACAACTCCATAACCTTCTTTGTAGCTAATATACATGAAAATAAGATTCAATATATGTTTAGTCTTATTAATGCATTATTAATATTTTAATCTTAATCTTAATTTTTGTTTTGTTTTGTTATATTTGGAAATAGTCATTCTAATTCTTTTTCTACCATGAATCTAATTGTTATTTGTTTGATATCTATTTATAGCTATATTGCAAATATTTCTTTTAATCAAGATATGTAATCAAACAAAAAAGATATTCAAATTGATTCTATATTTTTCATATTCCTAATAATATAAGAAAAAACTTGATGTTGATAAGAATGATAATGCATATATTGTAGAATATACTCATTAATTTTAGTTTTAAAAAATTAAATTAAAAACTACAAAATGTTAAGAAAAAGAATCCAAATAAGTATTTAAACAAATAAGATGTACATTAGAGTGAAATGGAAAATTGAAAAAACTGTATATATATATATATATATATATATATATAAGCATATATGCAAGAAGAAAACTAAAATGACTATTACAAAAGACAAGAAGACTAGAGATTTTTGAAACTAGACTAAAAACAAGGAAGATTTTAAAAAGAATGAGGAAGGCTTCACTCTTGCCTCTATATACTATTTCATTAAAGAGCTACATGACAACACACTATCTACTTATTCAAATAAACATACTAGTAAACATAGATGGTTATAGCAAAACATGTATATATATATATATATATATATGTGATTTGTAAAAATAAAACAAAATACTATGAATTTTATTATTTTTTATTTTCATATAACATCATCTTATGAAGATCTTTTGTTATTTTTTGAAACCTTTGGTTCATTCCACCACCTCAGTTTATATTATATCATATTTAAATGTCAAACTTTTAAAAGAGAGTTTATTTTTATTAAACAAAAAAACTTAACAAGGCTTTTGAACCATGGCATTTCAAAGTGGGTTTCTACATACAAACCCCTAAGTACTATTTTACACATTAAATAAGTGCCAAACTATTAGGTGATAAGATGACATCAATCCATGTTTTCAACTTCTCTTTCAATCTTGTGCAATGGATCCCCTCTGAGTACTGTGTAAAAAAACTTGGGTAAAACACAAAGGGTCAAAAAAAAACTTGTGATTGGCCATGAAGAAGGGAACTCGAAGGACTTTGGAACCAGGGAATAAGGGAGCACGGACACCATGGATGGATGTGCTTCAGCTAGTAGCAAATAAATAAATATTATAAATAATATTGTCTAGTCATGAATTTTCTCGACTGTTGCACAGAATCAATGTAGAATAGTTTCAAAGGTGACTCTGAAGTCATCCAACCCCACAGGTCCCCACAGGCTGTAACTGTCCAGTCGCCGTGTTCCAGTTGTCCCGGAAGCTTGTAGGCTCCCCATAAAAGCAGCAACAGCCTTATTGTGGGCAATTCACTGTGTTGGAATTAGCCTCCTTGCACAGCAATCGAAATGCTTTGACAGTAAGAGAAGCCATACTTGTTTCACAAGTGATACTGATTGAACCAAACATGGTGGTTGTATCATATGTGCAAGTTGCCGGGGTTGCGCATGGAGCTTCGTTAACTCGCGCAATCAACAACATCAAGAACGGAACGAAGGTAACGACCACAGCTCGCCCTCCGCAACAACTGATTCAACGAAGGGTTCCGTCTAGACGTCGAAGTGATGATGGTGGAAGCAGTTTCAGCCCGGTGTGTGTTATGGCCAGCTATGGCGTCGTGGAGTCATGGTCTCCGTCGACACGTGAAGAGGTATTTCCACTAATCGACATACATGGGAATGGATTTCCGTTAGCGCCTTTGCCGAAGCAAAATTATGCCTTGACGGAAGAGGTTATCACGATGATATCGAAGAGAAACGACGAACCGGAATGGATGTTGCAGTTTCGTCTGAATGCGCTAAATCAGTGGCTCATGATGAAGGAGCCCGAAGAATTGCTACAGACTTCACGGCGGATTGATTTCAGGACCGTGTGCGATTTTGCTTCACGGGTGTACCAGAGAGACGACAATTCCTCAGCAAACTCGCAGCGTGTGTTGTCATCCGATGCGGGCACCTCGGATAATAGCGACTCCTTTGCCACCACTCACCAGAAAGCGCTTGCAGAAGCGGGAGTGATATTTTGCTCAATCTCAGAGGCGATCCAGAAGTATCCGGAGCTTGTGCGAAAATACCTAGGTAAAGTGGTATCTTCATCGGAAAACTATTTTGCAGCTCTCAACTCAGCAATCTTCACTGATGGATCATTCTGCTATGTTCCAAAGAATACTATCTGTCCTATAGACATCTCTACTTATTTTTTGGTGGAGGGGCGGAAAGTCACGAACCTCTTCGAACGCAACCTCATCATCTGCGAAGAAGGCTCCTACGTGAGCTCCCTAGGTTGCACATCGCCATCTCCAAGTATGGATGCGTCTCAACAGCTCAACGCGCCCGTGATCGAGCTCTACTGCGCGGAAGGAGCTGAAATCAAGTATTTTGTTGTTGAAAATTGGCAAGAACCGGGTGCGAATCGATCGCCTGTACAGTCGGAGGTTTACAACTTCGTAACCCAGCGAGGGTTGTGCGATGGACCCCGGTCCAAAATCACGTGGATAACAGTGGAGTTGGGATCGACGATCGCTTGGCATCACCCAACGGTTGTTTTGAAAGGGAACGGCTCCACGGGACAAAGCTTCTCCATGACGATGTTAAACTCAGGGCAATTCGCGGACATGGGTGCGAGAATAATCCACATGGGAAGCAACACGAAGAGCCGAGTTGTCTCGAAAAGCGTCCATGCAGGGAATTCTCATGGTTGTTTTCGGTCTTACGTTGAGATCCACCCCCTTGCGAAGAATGCGCGTAGCGAGGTGACGTGGGACGCAATGCTCCTCGGACCTCATGCAGAGGCTGTATCTTACCCTTCCTCTACGGTACTGCTTGCACCCCTAAATCTTCTGTGTGCGAATTAGGGGTGGCAGAAAATAAACCACCCCGCGTTGATTGCAGTCATACTTGCTTTGATATTGTTGTTCCTCAGACTAAAGTGGAGCTATCACCACTTCTATACTCATTGAAAAATGCTGAAACGCACTTGGTCAACGCTAAAAGTTTCTAGAAAACTCGATTGTCGGAGTTTACAATGGGCGGTGAGCAATAGCCTCAAGTTTTAGTAATTGCCACGCGGATACAGTTTTGAAGTTCCACGTAAAATCACCCCTGAATCGCTTGCACTCACGATTCCGGAGCAACTAATGAAAGCATGAAGAATGCCATTTTAAAATCTAGTCATTTGGTGATTGATGTTGCAGGTAAGGAATACGAGCGCTCAAATCAAACAAGAAGGTAGTGCCTCTGGAGTGAATGAACACACGGTGTTCTATTTTCAGCAGAGGGGAATCGAGTTCCAGAAAGCAGTGCAGACGATCCTGACGGGATTTTGCAGCGACATATTGCGAGAGCTGCCTTGCGAGTTTGAAGAGGAGGTGAAGGTAATGGTGGAGCTGAAAATTGAGGAATCCACGAGATCTTAAAAACCTGGTTTTATAGATCAGGGATTCTGGGCATTGGCCTCTTTTCTAGAGAGAATCTGTAGCTTAATCAGCTTAGCATCAAACAACAATTGTTGTGTAGAATTGACAATTCGACCTCGGGATGCCACGCAAATTCTTGCAGATAAAGGTGGTGTAAATTCTCAGGTAGTGTAAAATAAACCAATCAACCACCACCGTCTGGTGAACTCAACATCGTGTTGTCACCTCCATAACGATGCAAGTATCATGACAATTAATGTCGATTCATCTGAATCTGCACCACCGTAGATTTCAAGTGCTTTGTCGGTCGGTGTTCCGCTCAATAAATATATCCAGTAGTGGACGCTTTCCAATGACTAGAGAGCCACATAATTCAATTCACATGCATGGCCAGCATTAAGGAGCATCTGTGGAGTACAAGGCACGAGAATAGACATTTTTTGGCAACCTGATATATTCAGAAATAGGGGGTGGTGAAAAAGAAAAAGGAATGGAGGGGACTTAGTCAGAGAAGATGATTTAGCTGTCAACACGCTGTATTTCAAAACTTTATATGTTTTATGGTGCTTAGTATATCTTATTTTATCAATTGCAACCAACAAAGCTTCAGAGAATGCTGTAAAAACAATTTTTGGAAGAGAGATAAGTGGACCAATGCTAAAACAATGAATCAAATAGTTATTGATGCTCTTTGTGAGTTCTTCCATTAGGGGGTTTCAAACATAGCACTTTTGTAAAACCAAATAATTGGGATTCAACACCTAATATTTCTAGAATCACTTAAAATATCAAATCCAAATTTTCACCATTAGGAGTATTCAAACATAGCCTTTCTGTGTGATATTTCACCTATGTTTAAATCTTGAAGTATCTTGAGATATTTCAAAATATTACTTAATACTTCACCAAATCACCCAACTCTTGAGATGGGTGATTTTGAAATCAAAATATCAAAAGAAGTACGGGTGAAATATCAAAAAATGCATCACTTGCCTTAATTCTCTTCTATCTTTGATTCTATATCAAGGAGATAATAAAGTTTGAATCATAATATTTTGGATTTGGTATTTTGAATGAAACTCAAAATATTAGGTATTGAATCTCCTATTCAAAATTTATTACTTCTTGATATTAGGCAATATTAAGTAGTATAGTATGCAATCAAAGAGAGAAGAGAGTTGTTGCAAGCTACTCAATTTTTGATATTTGATTCTCCTTTCTTTTGATATTTTAATTTCATAATTACCAACCTCGCGAGATAGATGATTTGGTGAAGTATCAAGTTATATTTTAAAATATCACAAGATACTTTGAACAAATATCACAGTTGAAATATTACCTAAAAAGGCCAAGTTTGAAATTCATGATTGAAATGAAGATTGAAAATAATAGATAAAAGGAATGAAGGGATGACAAGACAAGAATAGAGAGATGTTGGATTTGAACATAAGTGAATTAGGGAAAATAGAAGATGAGAATATATACATTGTAAGCAATCAAGACATCAACAAACATCATCAATGAGGTGAAAAACAAAGAGACAATAACTTTAATAAATAATATATTTCTTTCTTATAAGGTCTAGTAAATATTGTCTAAACAAAAGTATATATTTTTTCATGAAACCGATTTAGATTATTGAAGCTTTTACCATTGAAGATTTAACAAAATCTACATGTATGGTTGAAAATGAATATTTTAAGTAATATAATCATTTAAAATAATCAAAAGAGACACACTTAATATCATTTTATTATTAATTTGATTAAAAATAAGAAAATATAGTAAAAAATATATTATAATATATATATATATATATATATATATATATATATATATATATATATTAGTAATTGATATCATATATTTATGTAAGAAGAAATAGAATTAAAATAATCTTTTAACAATCTTAAATTTTTAATAGCTCATTTTAAGTATATTAGAATAAATATAAATAATTATGTTTATTTTAATATGTATTTTGTTACCTTATAAAAAAATATTACTTACAAATATATCTATTTATCTTCAAAAATATAAATAAAAAATAAAAAAGATAAATTTAATATTTTAAAAGACATGATTAACCATTATTAGAAAGAACAAAAATGAGCTTTTATGGAGTAGTAACTCTAAGTTGAAAAACATTGAAATACACAAGATAAACTTTACTTCTAATAAAAAGTCAACCAAAAATAATAAAAAGAAGAAAGCAAGTTTATAAATGGCATCAAATTTACTTGAGATTAAAGAGGCAAAATCTTTACTTATTTCTTTATTCTACACTTTTAAAGATTTTATTTAATTTATCATTTCTTATTAGCAAAAATATCTTATAAAAGCAAAAGAAGACAATAATGCTCCAAAGAGCTTTGTTGCATCAAAGAAGGAGATTTTGCAAGTAATAGCATTGCAATCATTGATGTTTTTAAATTAACAACTATCTAATTATAAATAAAATGAATACAAATTATACTTTGTTTTATTTTATTACCTTCTACATTCATTATGGTAGTAGAAACTTAGTGGTGGGACAAATTAGTACATTAGGATTTGATAGTAGGTGTGTATAAAAAATACCAATTGTTTCAATGTAAAGCTAAGTGATCAAAGTGGTGATAGCCACCTATATGGAGGTATTGAAGTTACAACTAGCCTATGCCTCAATTGTCCCTACTATCTCAAAGGATGATTAAATAGTGGATAGAATAAAATTAATAGACAAAGTAGAACTAGAGCTGATTGTAGCAGCCTATAATTTAGATAAAGTTTCTACCATCAATCTAATTCAAGCTATTATTAAAAAAAAGTTATTGGATAGTTTTTCTAGAAGTGATACAAGATTTTTATTAAACAATCATGTATTTGAGGTCTGTTTAGATGGAAAAAAAATCAAACAAAAAATAAAGCACCTAAGGTGTTATGTAATCATATCATATTTTGTTTGTGGCAAGCCATCTGCGAAGGCAATGTAAGCATAGCTAAGTGACTTGAAGATAGAAGTAAGAGAGGATCTCTAGCTAGGACTTGATTTGAATTATGGATTCTTTTAGGTGATTTAGAAAGATGAGATGTCCTTCCAAAAAAATTTAATTTATAATCCACATATATTATAATGGATGGCTTGAATATTATAACCATAGATAATAAGATTTTTTTGAGGACATGAATCTTAAAGAAAGAAAACCTCAATATACTCTTGTGTCACTCAAAAAGACTAAAAAATTATTCAAAGATGATATAATATTAAACTAGAATGGCTATTGCCAAAGACAAAAAGATTAGAAAGTCTTAAAAAAAGACTAAAAATTAGAAAGGCATTGACAAGAGTAAGGAAGGCTTTACTCTTGCCTCCATATAATCTTGTAATTAGAAGCTACATAATAATGTCTTATAAGACCTCTAAAATGTGTTGACTATTTTTTTTATATGTATACCACATAATTAGCTTATTTTGTAAGCTATTAATATATGATTAACTTCTTGACTAAGTTTCTAATCTATCAATCAAATACAAACAAACATAAAGTCAATGTAATGTCTATGAAGCTTTTGGGAAGCTATTCTAAAAAATATTATGAAATAAATCTATTTTTATTTATTTCTGCTTAATAATATAAAAAAATATTAAAATAAATATATATGTCCATGAAATTATTTTCTTTTTTAGGAATGATTTTTATAAAGAGCAATCATTATATATTGAAGAAATCCAAGATATTACAAATAATGTTTGTTATATATTTTGATCTTTATTCTCTTTGAAGATGGTTGATAAGTCTTCTTAATCATCCATAGGGTCCTATACTAAAAAAAGAAGACCATCATATTATTTGATCATTGTTGAGACCTTTCTAATTCTTTTCAAATAAAATATTTAAAAAACTATTAAAAGTCATTCCTACCTCTAATAAAATCACCAAATATTTAGAGACTTTTCTAAGGTATTGATACCAAATACATTATATTTCAACATCTACTTTTAGGAAAGATATTTCATTCTTGAGGATCTTTATTATTTTGAAGGTTCTAATAATCATAATGACTTGTCCAATAAATCAATAAGTGATAGGTCTTGAGTTCAATCTATTGGTTATTAGTTCTTCATCTCTTTAGTGTCACAAATATATAAAAGTTATAAATAAGGATAGAAGGTAAAATGCTATCTTTCTTAGATTTTTTATTTTATTTTATTTTTTATAATAAAGATTTATTATTCTAGACCCCAATAGATATAATTAATAAGCAATAGGATTGATTTGTTTACAAATAGAGAAAGGTTCAAGCCTAAAATAGTCCAATTTGTCACAAAGACAAGTAGTCTTGATATTGTAATGAAGTATGCATATCTTATTACTTACAATAAATTGTGGTTGTTCTTTATAATAAGCATTTGCATTGATCTTTTATTATTTTTGAGCTTCTTTTAATTGTACCTTCATTATTGTATGTAGCTTTGATAAAAAATTCTCTAAAAATTTTGCCACAAGATAATCAACTTTTTAAAAATCAAAAGTATCAAATTATGGATGATAACTATAATTAACAAAAAAAAGATATTTTTTGAGAAAAATGAATGTATCAAATTATTTTATGCAAACTTTTCTAATTGAAAAAGAGTTGTCAAATCATCTTGATGATAATTAATGATATACCTCAAATATTGCTCCAAAGTTTGATTCATCCATTTGATTTGTCCATCATTTTAAAGATGAAAAGCCAAAGAGAGCTTTATATCTACCTTTAAAATCTTAAAAAAGATTTTTTAAAATCTTGATATAATTTGAATCTTCTTATCCAATATAATATATTGTATTCAAAATATCCGGCTATTGAAAAGTCATGACGAGCTTAAAGAACACATAATTGTACTTTACTTTCTGGAATATATAATCATTCTTTAAAATAGAGTAGATTATTTTTGAATTTGAACTTGAAGTATCATAAGACTTAGAAGAATTGTTCTTGATATCATGAATAAGAGGATTAGAGGACGTACGTGATTGAATCAAGAATCAATATTGATTTTATTGCTTGAAGATAAAAATACTTTGGTTTCAAGAAGATCATTTTTTTTAATCAAAAGTTATATTTCCTTCTTTTTACACAAGATAAGAACATCTAAAAAGGACATTTGACAAAACTTATTATTTTTTGGATTGATAAATAATCTTAAAATTAAATTTTAATAAAAATATACTTTAATAGGCTTAGCAACAATTCAAAATATATACTGTCATGAAATACTTGAAATTCTTGTAATTCGTATGTATAGTGACTAGATTAAAAGTATCTTCTAGATAATGAAATCATTTTTGAAATGAATCCGTGATTACAAGAAGTTCTTTGTAATAGATTTCATAATTAATCTTAGCCA